TGGCTCCCACCAATGCATGTATGGTATTTCCTGGATGAGGGTCAGGGATCCCTTTTCCAGGAACCCTCAGATAAGAGGAGGCATAGCCCAATGGTTAAAAGCAGGGGCTCTGGAGTCCACCCGCCCGGGCTCCAGCCTGGCTCTGTTCCCCAGTGTTTGTGTGGCATTAGCCAACCTCTCTGAGCCCAGCTCTGAAGTGAGGGGAGAATGCTTGTCTTCCAGCGCTGTCGCGAGACTCACTCACTATAAGGGAACATAGTAAATGATCTGTTATTGATACGGGGTCAGAGAGGTGGGCCGCCAGCCCAGGATTGAGAGGAATTGGCTGAGAGTTGGCATCTGGTCCTTTGGGACACCCCACTTGCTGACACACAGTAGTCTTCCTGTAAAGTTTGGTAGAGGACTGGAGAATGAGGGCCGGTACCATGAGGGGGGATGAAAAGGAGAGAGGGGAAGACGCAGCTCAGCTCACTGCCTGACCTCACCCCCTAGAACCGCCACCGGTGAAGCTGGTCTCGGAGCTGATACCACTAACCGTCCACGAGGGTGACGATGCCACATTCCGGTGTGAAGTCTCCCCACCAGATGCCGACGTCACCTGGCTACGTAACGGGGTTGTGGTTGCTCCGGGGCCACACCTGGAGGTAGCCCAGAGTGGTTCAAGCCGCGTGCTGACCGTGCGAGGCTGCAGGCTAGAGGACGCCGGGACGGTGACTGCACGGGCCGGGAGCACCACCTCCAGTGCCCGGCTCCACGTCCGAGGTGTGGCCCGGATGAGGACAGAGTGCTCTCTTCCCCTCACCTGTCCTCCCAGCCCTGCCCCAGCAGCTGGCCTCTGCCCAGGGACAGCCTCCACCTCACCCAGACCCCTGGCCTCCCCCCTTCTTCCCCACCAGAGACGGAGCTGCTGTTCCTGCGGCGGCTGCAGGACGTGCGGGCAGAGGAAGGCCAGGATGTGTGCTTCGAAGTGGAGACAGGCAGAGTGGGCGCAGCAGGGGCCGTGCACTGGCTACGAGGCGGGGAGCCCCTGCCCTTCAACTCTCGCCTATCCATGGCCCAGGAGGGTCACGTCCACCGCCTCTGCATCCGCAGTGTGGAACTGGCCGATCAGGGCACCTACGGCTGTGAGAGCCACCATGACCGCACCCTGGCCAGGCTCTGCGTGAGGCGTGAGTTCCCTGTCCTCTCTTAGCACATCACCTGCCCCCTGACTCAGCCTTTCCTGGCCATCCCAGAGCCCCTCATCCCCCCCCCCCCCACCGAAGTGCCCCTCGCTGCAGAGGAAAGGTAGCCCTGTCCCTGTCCAGGGCTGGGACCTGAAGCAGCCAGACCTGCCCAAAGTGAAGCTTTGCTTTTTCTAATGTTTTCTATTTACCACATGTGGGCCGTGAGTTCCATTTCATATTTCCAAGTTGCTATAAATATAAGCATACTGCAAAGAGACTTGCAATGTTTATCGGGTACACATGCCCATCTACGAAGCAGGGACTGTACGTGCACACCCAAAATCCCAAGAGGAGAGTGGAAGAGAAGGGACTGTGGCATGGCTGTCCCCCCAGGAGGTGCTTTATGATTCTCTCGCTCCCCTTCTCTTCAGCAAGTGCTATAGCAAAATAAATAAATAAATAAATAAATAAATAAAGCCGGGACAGCTAGCCCCACTTCAACTGTGTGACCTCATGCAGGTTGTTTAACCTCTCTGAGCTAAGTCCTTAAAAATGGAGCTGACCCCTGCCTCACTGGCCTCTGGGAACATTAACTGACATAATGTGAAAAGTGTCCACACAGTCTGATGAATGACTGTCACTGGTGCTACCTATTCTCTTCTAATTTGCTTCGTTTAATCATCACAATAAACCCATGTCTCGATGCTCTCCACCTTGTACACTTGAGGAAACTAGGGCCCAGAGAGGTCAAGCAGTTTGCAAAGGCCACACAGCACGCAATCTATATGGCAGAGCGAGGTTCCACTCTCAGTGTGTCTGGCTCCAAAGTCCATGCTCCTTCCAGTGTCGTAGCACCCCTCACCAAGACTCCTCACCCTCTTCATGTATCCTTTCCCTCCCCCACCTCTGGGTAGTTGTGCTCCTTTCTTCCTATCCCTGGTTCTGAACTTAAAAAACAAAATTATTTAATTTCATTCATTTTAAAAAATTATTTATTAAATTTCATTTATTATTATTAATATTTTAAATTCACCAGCGAGATAGAGAGGGAAAGTGAGAAAACAAGCCACCAGGCCCAGGACACGAACCACTGTCTGCCATGTGGAGGTCCAGCGCCTTAGCCATCATGCCACCTGCTGACCCCTCTGAACTTTTTTTGTCAAGGCCTTAGTATAGGCATTGAGGGTGGTGCAGGTAGGGCCAAGGGGTGAGTGGGTCCCTGCAACCCTTCTCCAGAGCCAGAGCCCTCACCCTCCCTCTCCCCTCATCTCCCTCCACCAGCGAGGCAGCTGAGGGCACTGCGGCCTCTGGAGGATGTGACCGTCAGCGAGGGGGGCAGCGCCACCTTCCAGCTGGAGCTGTCCCAGGAGGGTGTAAGCGGGGAATGGGCCCGTGGTGGAGTCCGGCTGCAGCCGGGGCCCAAGTGCCACATCCATGCAGAGGGCCACACTCACCGTCTGGTCCTCAGTGACCTGGGCTTGGCCGACTCGGGCTGCGTCTCCTTCACGGCGGACTCCCTGCGCTGTGCAGCCAGACTCACTGTGAGAGGTGGGACCTCTGGGACCGCCACTGCCTGCTGACCCTTGTGACCCTACTAACCCTGGGTCTAACTGCTGATCCCACTACCTGTGTGTCCCCCATGCATATCACTGTCTGGCCTTCACTGACTCCTGCAGAGTGACTTCCCCAACCCTTTGGTCTTGTGTGACTCCTCCGACCACTCTAGTCCCTCGTGGTATGCAGATGACTAACCATGTCCTGGTGGACATGCCCATGTCGCATGAACATGGCCCCACTAAGCACTCTGACCATGATCCCACTGAGCACTCCTGCCTGCCATGGCCCCCTCTGCCTGACAGAGTATGGCCCCTGCGACAACTAAGTCCCTCCTGTCTAATAACTCCCTGTCTAAGGGCACCTCTGTTGAATGTCCCCCATTTTGGCTTCCAGCCCCAGCACATGCTCCACTGACCACACCTGCTATAGGTTCCCCCCCATGCTCCTCTGAACCCACATGCCTCCCACTGGCCCGTGTCTCCTGCTGTCCTGTCCAGCCAAGCGTGCCCCCTGACTGTGCTGCCCATGGTGACACCTGCATCTCTGCTGTAGTTCCCCCATTCCCCTGGCCCACAGCACAGGCTCCTCTGGCTGCCCTCGAGTGTGACTTCCAGTCCTGCCCCATTAGCTCACTGGCCCTGGTGTGCCCCCACTGACCAGCATCCCCCTTGAACCACTGCCCCAGCACATTCCCCACTCACTAGTGGCTTCCACTGGCCATGTCTAAATGTGTCCACCACTAACCCCTTGTGCCCAGGTATGTCCTCCTTGTCCCTGGTGGGCCCCCAGCCTGCCCTGACCTCTGTTCCCTCTGCCTCCCTCTCCCAGAAGTCCCAGTGACCATTGTGCAGGGGCCCCAGGACCTAGAGGTGACCGAGGGTGACACAGCTGTGTTCGAGTGCGAGCTTTCCCAGGCCTTGGCTGATGTGAACTGGGAGAAGGTCAGAGCCCAGTCCCTGTGGGCCCACTTCCCCACTTTCGCATGGTAATAGTAATACTCAAAGTGAAGCAATTAATACTCACTGAGTGGACACGCCTGGCACGTGCTAAACTTTATTTTGCATTTAATCCTTCCAACAGCCTTAGGAGGTAGGTCTTGTTAACACCAAGTAACCTACAGGAAACTGTGCCCAGTGAAGTTACTTGCCCAAGGGCAGATAAAAGGGGTAGTAAAGCCCATATTTTGAACCCAGACTTGCCTACTTCCAGACATGCCCTGTGTGCTTGGTACCTGGCTTTGGGCTTCCAGTGCCGGTGGTGCCACTTCCTGACCCTAACGTCCGCGAAGGGTGGGTCTTTTCAGAGGCTCCTGGCGTGGCCCAGAAGGCGTGGCCTGATTGTAGTCTGGGAATACAGGACACGCATACACGTGCCTGGAGATCGTTCAGCATCAACAGAGGGCGCCTCCGCCTTCCAGGGCCGAACACCAAGCCTGATTCACTTCAACCTTCTGCAACTCCCGCCCCTAGGACGGGCGCGCGCTCAGCCCCAGCCCTCGGATCCGGCTCCAGGCCCTCGGCAAGCGCCGTCTTCTCCAGCTGCGGCGCTGCGGACCCTCGGATGCCGGAACCTACAGCTGCGCGGTGGGGACCGCCCGCGCCAGGCCCGTCCGCCTGACCGTGTGTGGTGGGTATGAGACGCAGCGGATACTTCGCACTGCTTAGTCCTAGGGGGCTGCGGATACGTCTTTCCCTGGAGCTG